ATAAAACCCAATAAATGTGTTTGTTTACATTAGCCTACTAATTTAAATTTCAGAAAGCCCAGTCTATTAAGTTTTCTTTTTAAACTTAAGAAATGTTGCCGGCCAGAGGCAGTTTGACAAAATCAAAAGGAAATATCCCTATCACAGCAAACCTGCAGACTAAGCAAATGTCTATATATCTGATTGGATTTAACTCAAATATTTCCATAAAAGTCATATTTATTCTCCATTTAACTAACATTAGATTTAACTAGTACTTAGGTTTGCTGCTACATGGGAAAGGAAAAAGTTTTTTTTTCATAAAGGTGGTTAACGTAAGGTATTTCAAGTTGATTTCAGAGAAACTGTTGGTCCTACAATGATGAAATGAAATTATTTTCGACTAAATCGACCCCAAGGAATAACATAAAAATACTTTTAATGTTTTTTGAATACAGGGTGTTCAAGAAGATGGTAGAAGACGGCAGTGACGTACTGGTAGGAATTTATTTATTTATTTTCCAAGGAAAGATTAAATCAAGCAGGTGATCACAAACGGCAAATATTACGTCATTGCCGACTTCTATGGTGACGTCATGCTTGACGAGCATTACAGCCTGTTTTTTTTAGTGTGGCCTTGGTTAGGGCCTATGGCTCGTATTAGAGAATAAGATTAAAAACTAATCTTGTTTAGGCAAAAATTATAGCCTCTATCGGATTAAGAAATGAAACTATTCTAAACTAACCTAACATAACTAACCAAACTTGCTATAGGCTAAGTTACCGTTTCAAAATTCTGTTTGATAACAGAAAAGGCATGGGGAATAGGCTATCAAACGGAATTTTGAAATGTTGCAGCAAGTTTGGTTAGTTAGGTTAGTTTAAAACAGTTTCATTTAAATATAATATTTTTTAATTGTTTGTTGATACTGAACAATATTTATTTATCGTAGTTGTCAGCTGATAAGTTTCTATTTGTTAATATCAATATATCGAATGAAAAAATTAAATATCGATAAGTTATATCGAAAAGAAATCATCGATAATAATGAATGTTCCCTTTAACAGGAAAATACCAGTTCAGGTTATCATGAATCGAGAAGTTGGTTTATGTTTACCTAAAGACTGTTTTTGTACAATTTAAACCCTACAAAAACACTCCAAAAGTCTAGGCCTATTTAAAAAATCCTTGCATTGTTTGAATAGGTAGTGTTTTGGTGTGTTATAAGGGTTTAAAGTCAATTGTATAATACCCCCGCCGCAGCAAACCTGCAGACTATGCGAATTTCAACTAGTCTGATTACATTTTTACTAAAATATTTCCATAAATAAGACATATTTATTCCCAATTTAAATAACAATAGATTTGTTAACGAGTACTTAGGTTTGCTGCTACGGGGAAGGTAAAAAGTGTTTTTTTACCATACCTACGTCATTAGTAGGCCCCTATAGGGCCTACCAGTTTTCATTTTCTCCATAAGAATAACATAGGAATTTATAATTACACTATTTTTGAATTTTCTCCGTGACTGTCAGGCATACAAGAGCTGCAATATACTAAATTATTTCTTTTTTTAAGCTCTACAAAACGGTTTAGAAAGAAATTGCAAAATTTTTTGTTTTTAGGGTCAAAAATAGGAAAACCCATTTTTACCCCATAAAATCCCCCATAAACCCCTGTTCCCATGGTCCGATTATTCTGGTTCCCGAAATCGTTTGAATAAACGTAGGTTTACACGTTTCTACCAAATTTCATCAAAATCGGATAGTTTTTGCTAGAGTTATCGTGCTAACGGACACATATATATATATATATATAATAAATAAGTAGGTATGATTGTGATTAGGGCTACTACTATATTAATAATCGAAAACATTATAGAAACATTAATACCCTTTTAAATTCATTTTAATAAACAAACTTAATAAATTGTTAATTAAAATGAATTTAAAAGGGTACTAATGTTTCTATAATGTTTTCGATTATTATATATATATATATTTATATATATACCGGTATCTTACTAATATTATAAATCTGAAAGTTTGTGAGTTTGTGTGTGTGTTGCTCAATCACGCATAAACTACTGGACGGATTGGGCTGAAATTTGGCATGATGATAGATCACATTCCCGATTAACATTTAGGTATATTCTTATCTAAAAAATGCTTTCAGGCTCCGCCCGGTGCTCTGTAGTTCCCCATGGTAACCTTATGAGTAGGCCTATTCATATTTAAAGGGAATTAAAGAATTTAGTCAGCTGTTTCAACTTTACAAGTTGGTTCTATAATATGCAATAGGATTAAAAATTTATAAGGTTTCCCAACAGGGTGCAGCACTATTGTTATTTTGTTTTAGCATATAAGACAACAGCTAATTTGAACTAAGGAGCAACAAAAACCTGTGATACACAATGAGAACACTCAAAGTAGGATTGTTTACAGTTAGGTTTGAGTTTTTAATTTAATAAATAATTTTAGATAGCCTATTGTGTAAATTTTAGATAATTTATTTTTTTCTATTGTTTAGGTGCAGTGGTAGAACATTATGGCAATGGTAGATATGTTACACTATATCATACTGTAAATTTATGAACAAAATTTTATCAAACGGTGTCCTCCATTGCAAACGCAAAGCTTGAGTATAACTGCAATAAGCATTTTATACTCATATGCCAACCCCGTACGAAGGACGGGTGCTCTGCTAGTATATATATATATATATATATATATATATATATATATGAATTTGAACGGATGGTGTTTTTGGCCTCTAGGGACCTCAAAACGAAAAATTAAATCGGTCCCGGGTCCAGGTCTTACCATGAGTACTACGGTAATAGCTTATTCCCTATTATGGGAAATTCGCTAAAAACGGTCTTTAGGTACTACCCTAAGGTAAACCAACATCTTGATTCATTATAACCTAAACTTTACCTTACATAATCCAACCTACCTTCAAGGTAGTGATGCGCGATTGCGAGATGTTACAATCGAAACGTTTCGATTGTTTCAACCTCTCGAGACGTTTCGATTGTAATTTTGCTTAGCGAGAGGTTCTTACAGAGAGGTTTAATCGAGATGTCCGTGACGATTTTTTCGTTTCAGCAATCAGCACGGCTTCTCTCGTATCTCGCATTCGTCTCGTCTAGAGAACCGAGAGGCGAGAAGTCCTTACTGAGAGTCTTTTTAACGAGATGTTCATGGTGATTGTTTTGTTAAGTGCGGCATCGTCATTTATTATCATCTAATTTCTATTGTATCTGCCGGGGATTGACCTAGGAGGATTAAACTTGACCCCCACTAAAAGAGGTATATCTTACTTCAAAACCAAGGAAGGTTTATGGATATAGTTACTTACTTTATCTACGGAACTCAATTTTACCACCCAATAAAAACTATTGACAAGACAATATATTTTACAAACAAAACTTTTGTATTTAAATCTAAATGTTTACAACGATACAGATGAAGGTTCTCATAAATGTTATGTTAACAGCATTGTTTACCCATTAGGCTACATTAAAATAATTTTCTATTTCCAAGACTAAGTGACGAAAGTGCTTATTCATATGTCAGCAGTATATTATGTTGTGCATAATAGTCTACTATTCTATAAGAATCTAGAAAAAGAACTAACATCCTCGTAACAACTCTCACGAAATGTAGACAGATGCAAACAAGACGATAAGGCTCAACGAATGCAACAATCGAAAGAAACATCTCGATTGTGCAAACCTCTCGCTAAGCAATCGAAACAATCGATAAGCGGAAAATCTCGAGAACGAACATTTCGATTGTTCAAACATCTCGCAATCGCGCATCACTACTTCAAAGGACTTAATACAGTCACGAATAAAGTCCAACTGACCACCCTGACATGCCTTTTCTGACATCAAAGGCTGACATTCTAGAAGTTTGGTTCAGTAGGTTATGTTAGAACAGTACCGGTACCATTTTACTACATAGACCTAATTTTTAGCAAATTTTCTATAAGGACTAACCTAACATCTTATATTATATTGTGATTCCACTTGTAAATGTTGTTTGTTGTAGGCTTTACCTTGTTTATTCAAATACCGATATCTTAAGTAATATTCATTAGCTGTGAAAAATAATGGTAGCCTACCGGTATAGGCTATTTTGGATTTAAGAGGTAAAAAACTATAAAGATATCAAAATTAAAAATTCTTTTGGAGGCACCTATAGGTACTAAATAATTAGGCCTACCGATACTACAAAACTTGTGAAATATAAGAATTCTTCAGTGGATTAAAGGCAGTTAACAAGTTCAGTAGGTCCATATCATTAGTAATATAAAATGGTTTAAGTTACCTTTAGCGTCAAACAATCCGTGATGTAGTAGATGACTAGGCCTAACTTACTTACAGCTGTTTCGTGCCGCTGGGGCACATCTTCAGGTCAAGCTTTAAGATGATGAGGCTGTCATCCATGGATGAGTTTGTCAAAATTATAATTACATAAAATACACGGTACAAAAACATTTAAATACACGTATTTACAAACCGGCGCCTGTCTCGCGTGTTCGTCACTTGGCCAAGATTGTAAATACGTGTATTTAAATGTTTTTGTACCATGTATTTTATGAAATTTTTTATTTTGACAAACTCATCCAGGGATGACAGCTTCATCAATCTTAACGCTTGACCTGAAGATGTGCCCCAGCGGCACGAAACAGCTGTAACTTAGTCATATCTACTACAGCACGGATTGTTCGACGCAAAATCAAATCAAATCAAATTTTTATAGCCAGAACATTTTCAATGCATAGCAGTGTCAACTGGTTATAATAAAAGGTAACTTAGGCCTATACCATTTCATATTGCAATTTTGGATCCAGAGGCTAACCATATTATTAGATTATAAATACGTAGGCCCCTACTGTAAAAAATAATATCTTAATGTGAACTGCTTAACACTTAGTAAATAAAAACTTGATAAGCCTAGAATATAATAAACTTGTTTGCTAACTACTAACAGGTAGATTCAAACCACATTACCCTTTCAAATCATCCATAGTACTTCTACGACAAAATGTAAACTTCTTTGAATTAATTTTGAATAAAAATCTAAACTAGGAACGCCAAATAAGAATTGTGGTGAACAAATTAAACTCATCACTGTAGGCCCTACCAATTGAATTGAAATTTGAAAGTTGATACATATACAATCGACTAGTGTGATGACATAACCTAATCAACTGGTTGTTGTCTGTTGACTTGACCTTGACATTGAAATTGAAATTGGTCCATTGGTGTCGGTCAGGAGACCTTAGTGGACCTTGCCGTCAGGCCGTCACCGCCCTTTTTTTCGTCTGTCGTCTGTCTAGAAACGGGACAGCGGAATTTGAAATCGGAACGACGCTTCCCCCACTACTGCGCTGTGCCGAATGCTTCCGAATCTTACCGAGCATTGCCGAACTTAAGCTAGGGTTTCCAAGATCACGCGGGGCGGACAGCGTGAGCGTGATTACGTATAGCCCAGTCAATAGGGATTGTGTCGGAAGTAATTAGTGAAAGGCTGATTTTTGGCCCATCGACTATTACCATTTAGACAAGTGTTCAGCCAAAAGTCCCCGCCCCTACCCCTCTTGCTTCCCCCCCTGTGCCCCCCTAAACATATTAAGTGTAAGGGTTTCGTAAATCACGTTTTTCTCGATTGTTAAACGACATATTGAATTGCAATTACTTGTATTGTCTTTGTTATAGAATTTCCTACAATCATGTTCAGTTAACTTTCGTCGTAGCTGTTACCTTTTGTTCATTATTTGTATACAAATGTAAAGATTTATATATTTCTGAACATATAATTTTATTTTTGTTGCCTTCATTTTTTCCGCTGACGTTTTATGAAAATATGTTAAAAACAAAAGTTGTAGCTGCTTTCATTAGCTTTAAAATGATGTAACTTACTTTAATGAAAATCCTGCGAGATTCAGCCGGTGTAATGGAGTACGCGTACTCAATCAGTGAGCTAAGTTGGGCTGGCGCGGCGTTGCAATACTATCATTGTTGTAATATGGAGTTTTTTTTTTTTTTTTTTTTTTTTTACTTAAGGTATACTAATGCATTATCTCCATTCCCCGCCGCAGCAAACCTGCGACTAAGCAAATTTTCATTTACCTGGCTGGATATTTACTCAAACATTCCCTTAAAATCGTCAGAATTATTTCCTGATCAGATTATTTTCATGAATACTTAGGTTTGCTGCTACAGCCAAGGTATTGAAGAGTGTTCTTTTATCGATATGTTGATAGTTTTTTATGAAATAAATAAATCTAATTAAAATATACTAGTGTACCTGTTGCTCGAATTCGAGCAATTGCATTACTGGCGACTTAAAGATTATGGAAATACTCACAATCTACACAACATTTAGATATAATCAAAATCTTTTGTAAATATCTTATCTTTTTTCAAAAAGCTGATCTTGTTTTTTTAGTGTTTTCTACCAATTTTCCCCTCTCATAGCCGCATTAGGTTGTCTATGATAACGATTATAAATGAAAAAAAAAAACAACATTATTTCTATTTCTTCTACTTGGTTGTGTTCTATGAATTTTTCTATGTTTCCGTTGTTTGCAAATCGGTTATTTCAATGATTGCTCAAGAAATGTAGAACAGTGTTAATTCAGTTTTATTTTTAGCCTATATCAAATTGTCCAGGATTTCTCACTCTTTTCTATTCTAATAATCACACCAACCCAAGTTTCGTCTACAGATGCAATATGCCAACGAATATCACCTAGGTACAATCTCCAAGAAGTTGTAAAAAAGGCAGAAACCAACCCATACAATAGATATAAGTTAACTCCAAAAGAAATAATTTTAAGAGTTACTGTGATAATAGGATTTTCCACTGATTTGGTAATAGAACATTATACTGCAAAACATGACACGATGTAGAAGAAAATCCATTTTAAAATCAGAAAAGCCCATTGCAAATACTGTACTTCATTTTTGACAAATTCAATTAATCACAATTTAAATATTAACCGCTGTTTCATTAAAAAGTAGTGTAGAATTATGCATATTGTCGTAATGTAAACAAATCTGAAGAGGCAACTTTAAAGGCTTCTGGGGCAGAGCCCCAAGGGAATTGACCTCGTTCCTCTTTTGATGGCTCATCTACAGACCAAGACCTTTCTTTAGAGACCCCTACCAAGTTTCTACGCCCAGCCGTTCTCACAAATTAGCTGTGATAAAACCCCGTTTTCCTCCATAAGAATAACATGGGATGGGAATTCAAAGGCCACTGGGGCAGAGCCCCAAGGGAATTCACCATGTTTCTCTTTTGATGGCTCATCTACAAACCAAGACCTTTCTTTAGACACCTCTAGCGAGTTTCTACGCCCAGCCGTTCTCTCAAAATAGCTGTGACAAAGAAAAACAGTTTCAAATTAATATATAGATCTATAAACAAGCAGACTACAACAGTTTTTTTATCGTCCAAAAATAAAAATGGGAATTTTAAAACTTAATTTTTATGAATTATCTCCGTAATCGTTAGGCGTTTAACGTTGCTCCAATATACAAAATTATTTATTTTTTTAAGCTCTACAAAATTGTTTGGAAAGAAATTGTAATAGTTTGTGGTTTTAGGGGGGAAATGGGAATAACCAACGTTTACCCCATAAAAACCCTTATAAAACCCTATTCCCATAGTCTGATCATGCTGGTTCACAAACTCGTTTGAATGAACGTAAATTGATATATTTGTACCAAATTTCATCAAATCGGATCATTTTTGTTTGAGTTATCACGCTAACTGACTCTTGTATCTATATAAAGTGATAATATCCTTATATATAATAAGTGAAAGTGATTTCTACAAAACACTACTCCTCCGTTAATAATGGACGGATTTTTACAAACAAGGTGTCAAAATAAAGTATTTTTTGTGTAGACGCCCCTTTCACCAATTCCTGTAATAAAAATCCTCGGGCTTTGCCCCACAGGCCATCAAAGTTGGATTTTCTTCCATAAGATTAACATGGGGGAGTTAAAATATTTAATTGGAAACTTTGTCCCCACTAATTTGAGAGATCAACTGGGCGTAGGAACTTGGTAGGGGTGTCCAAAGAAAGGTCTTGGTCTGTAGATGAGTTATCAAAAGAAAAACTAAGCAAAATCACTTAGGGCTCTGCCCCAAAAGCCTTTAAAGATCCCTCCACAGAGTTGTTTACATTTTGGCCATGTGAATAATACTTTTTAATAAAACAGCTGTTCCTTTTTAAATTGTATTTCAAACCACACATATTTATTAGGAGTTACTGAATTCTACCAAATAAGTATTTGCAATGTTATTTTCTGATTTTAAAATTTATTTTCCTCTTTATCATGTCATGTTTTGCAATATAACGTTCCATTACAAAATCAGTGGAAAATCCTTTTTTCACAGCAATTCTTAAATTATTTCTTATTGAACTATCTATTGTAACTATATCTATTGTAAGGGTTGGTGTCTGCCTTTTTCACCACTTATGCCTACATTTTATCGTATAATTCTACACATATCAAATATTTATGTAGAAATATCTGCTCTTATCTAATAACATCCAAACATAGAAACCTTGCCTAAAATGGTACCCATCTTTGACAAATTATTTGCACCTGCCTATATTAAGGACTTTGGCGCACTGGGTTGGTAACATTATTGAAAATAACACTACATTTGAGCTGTAAAATATGGTACAAAGAGAAAATACGATTTAAGCAGCTACTGTCATGACAGAAAGGTCATATTTCTTTTAAACTAGATTACATAATCCTTTATAAGATACGTTGATTAAAATTATGTAAACGTCAATATATACGTAACAGCCAATTTACATTATTTTTGTATTTTGGAAATGTCCCATTGCTGTGTCATTTGCATTATTTGTTGCCAATGAAGCCGCCAACTTCACTTCAAGTATTCCACTACACCTAACATTCCGTAGAGAGATTATTTGACAACTTTATGTTATTGATAAGGCTGAGACAACTAACTGACATCCCCCATGTCAAGGAATTCCAGCCTTAACAGTAACCCCACAATCAATTTCTCAAAACTATGCTAGAGGGTTCATTCATTGGCACAGAAGTACGATATGAACTGACGCCACGTGACGAAGGAAAAATCAAACTTACACTGTAACGGATATATGTACCTCCCTTTGAAGTTAGAATATGTCTTCCCAAAAAAATATTTTCTTTTCAAATAAAATCATATTACACTGATGAAATCACAGAAGTTTTTAACTACAAAAGACCCACCAATATGTTCTTCCAAAGGATAAGGAAGAGATATCATATAACATACTAATAATAACTCCGATGACGTACGGTATGGGAAATATTTTAATCATTGAATGATCAACCAAATTCGGAAACTAACGCAATTAATATCATTATTGTTTTTACACTTATTACTCTTTATACAATACTAAATGCTTAAAATATGTATATTTCACCAAATTTATCGCAGTTAGATGAATTAACGTAAGCCTTGAAAGTAACCGTCGATTTTGACGGGTTTCACCTAGTATATATAGATATATGATTTTAAGTTTTACATTTTATTTATGAATTTTAACGGTGGAGGGTGTTTTCGGCCTCTGAGGGCTTCAAAATGAAAAACTAAATCGGGCCCGGGTCTAGGTCTTACCATGAGACCTACGGTAATACGGTTTATTCCCTATGAGGAATTTGCTAAAAGAACAACCGAAACAAACCCCATGTACAGTTAATACAATTTATTTCTATCCTTTGTAATTTAAAAACATACGAGGTGTTAGCCCGTCCTACGTACGGGAGTAGTCAGTTAAAACTGTGATAAATCAGAACAGCTAGCTTACACGTATAAAGACAAATTTTATAGCAGCCTACAGTAGAAAGAGTAATTATCAATTGAGAAAGTGTATAGGCCTAGTCAACGATATCACCTTCCAATTCCATCGCATACCTGCCTCTTCCACAATCAATATCTATATAAATAAAATTAGAGTTTTGTCTGTACATTGCTTAGAATAATGAACTTTTTGGTTATTTTTACATTTCATAGGTCAGAGAAACCGAATCAAACCTTATCTCAATTTCTGTCTGTCTGTCTGTCTGTCTGTCTGTCTGTCTATCTGTCATTCTCTTGGTAACGCTAAAATACGCACTTTATTACAACTACTCCTCAATAACTA